AGCCACGAGCCACACGCCCCCGCCTCCCGTGCGCCTCCTCACCGCCTCCGCTGAGTCCGCCATGTAGAACACCGGGTTGTGGAAGCCCAGAGGCGCCCCAGACGCCGCGGGAGCCGCCTCGCCGCGCCTCCTCCACCTGGGGGCAGGGACGCGCGTGAACCCTGCGTCCCTGAGTCCCAGCCCCGCCCCCTCGCGACCCCGCCCCGCGCACCTGAGCCTCCCGGCGCGTTGCAGCAACAGCGCCCCCGCCAGCAGCGCCAGTAGCAATAGGAGCAGCGCGGCCACGCCGCCTGCCAGCCCCGGCGCGTACAGCACCGCCACCGGGCCGCCTCCGACGGACGCGCCCGACTCCCGGACAGTTGCCGACAGAACCCCGAGGGGCTCGCCTGCAACGGAGGGTGTCGGCTCAGTCCCCTCGAGACGGGGTGGGACAGAGGTGGGGGGCCAGGGAGGGGGCGCCGCGGTTACCGTGCTCCGCGATGTCCGCTAAAAGGGCCCGGGCCAGCCGCCCCGCGCCTCCCGTCACGGGCCCGGTCTCCACCAGCACCACCTGGATGTCCGTGTCCGACTTCTCGCCTGCGCCCTCGCGGAGCCGGGGCTGGCGTGGCACCTTGGACACGGCCATTTGCAGCCCCTGGTACTGGGGCTAGAGAGGGGGACAGTTGGTCCGAGGACTCCAACCCTCGGACCAGCGAGGGTGAGGGGAGCGTTGGGGACAGGGGAAAACGGTGGGCAGATGGAGAGTGGGCGCATCACTGAGAGGCGGAGTGGGGCCCCCGGGGTCCCTGCGGAGGAGAAGGTCCCAGAAACGGGTTGCGGAGGCGATGGGGCCGGGGTGGAGACAAGGTCCCATTACCAGGGCCAGGAATGTGTGCAGTAGCCGCGCCCGGTACCGCTCTAGGTCAAAGGTGGGGCCATGGGTCAGCGACACGATGGCTCCTGCAGCAGGATGGCAGGGGTCAGCGCCTTGGTCGGCCCGACAGAGAAACAGGCTGAAGGCGAGCCAGCCTAGCCAGGCCTCCCGCTAGCAGGGGCCGGGCGGGGCGCTCACCACAGAGGTCGCAGCACTGCCCTTCAGGCCGGAGGGCGTCTTGGCAAGCGGCCTGGGGGCAGCGGCCGCCCAGGGGCTGGAGCAGTGCCGCACAGATCCACGGCAGCACCTGGAAGCAGGGAAGCGAGGATGAGCGCGGAGGGCAAGGAGGCAGACCGCACCGAGAGGACCATGCGCCCCAGGAGGCGAGCGGGCCAGAGACGGCGGGGCGGGGCGGGGCGGCCCCAGGCACAGTCCGGACCTCCGGCACAGAGCGGGGCCCAGCCCGCGTGGTCTCTCCGCCACCCCGCAGCAGACTGCCCTCACCTCGGCATTGCCACAGACGCAGCCCGACGGATCGTCGCAGGCATCTGGGCCCACGCTCAGCGCGCCGAACCCATGGAAGCGCAGGCGGCCGGCGCGAGACGCCAGGAAAGCAGCCAGGTCCTCGTCGCGGGTGAATGTCTGCAGATAGCCAGGTCACCGCGGGAGCCAGCCGAAGACGAGACAATATCTGAATGCCCGGAACCCACCAGGCCGCTCCGGGGAGCAGCACTGCCAGGCGAAGGCGCGGAGACGAGACCCGAGCCCCGGCCCCGCCCCGCCCCGCCTAGGCGCGCCGGGCTCACCTGGCCCAGAGCCCGCACGCTGCAGACCCTCACGGTGCCGACTCCCGGGCCGAGGCCCACCCGAAAGGAGGCGTTGGACGGGAAGACGACGTCGTCGTGGCGGCAGGGCACGCGCTCGGCGTCCACAGAGAAGAGACCGCGCGCCGCGTCCCCGGAGCGCCACAGGTGAGGGTCGTGCCACGAGAAGCGGTCCGGGTCGAGGAAGAGCGCGGAGGCGCCTGAGCGAGCGCGGGACCCTGAGCTCCGCCCGGGACACGCCCTCCGACTAGGCCCCGCCCCCGCCCCAACCTGGACCTCTCCCTTCCCTCCAGGCCCCACCCACGAACGCGCCCCCTCTAAGCCCCGCCCCCGGCCCGGCCCCTTCACCTGTGCTACAGTCCAAGTTTGAGCTGGGGTCCTTGGCGCTGAATCCAGCTCCTGAGGCCAGGACGAGTTCCCCGTCCAGCGGCAGGAGCTGCGGGAAGCTCAAGCTTTGGCGGCGCCGCGGGGGATCTGGGGCAACAGAGGGTCCCATCTGCACCCTCCCCTACTCCCCTGTCCCTGGGGAGAAGAATCTAGACAGTGACCAGGGAGTAGGCGGCTGAGGTCAGGGCTTGGGGGCACCTCGCCCTGGCTGAGGGCCAAATACGTCGGAGGGAGTGGAACCACAGGCCAGGAGCAAGAGTTGGCAGCATGAGGAGTTTGGGGCAGGGTGACACTTGTCAGGGCCATTGCCCTCTCCCATCACCCCTGAAAAACTACAAGCCCAGGGTTCGTGGTTTCCAGGAAGCCAGGCTGCTGGGGAGTCTGGAAACAGCCCTGAACCTGTGGGGGGGTGGCTACAATTGGGGAGAAGGGTGACACAGGTGGCAGGGAGGGCGATGGGGCCTTGAAATCGCCCATCTCCCCTCCAGCTCAGGCAGCCCCTTCACCACAGAAGTGGGGCCACAGCCCAGGTCTCAAGTGTCAAAGGAAACAGGGCAGCAGAAGGCCAGGAGAGGGAGGACTGATGGGCCCCACTCTCCCCTCCCCTCTAAGCCCCAGGACCCCAGCCCTCTGCCTTTCCCCCTCAGGGGTTGGGGTTGGGAAGGAGGGCTGGGCCAGGGGAGTGACTCAGTGCTGGGGTCACAAGGGGTTCAAGAACTCCAGGGACATCTGTCTACCCAGGGCCCAGCCTTGTGTCCCAACGTGCTCTTCAGTCTGTCCCCCAAGCATGGGGCCTGACCAAGAGGCCAACACTGGGAGGATTCAAGGTCACCAGCCAAGTGCCTCCACAGCTGAGAGTGCAGCACTGTGACAGCGGGGCAAACTCATGGGCAGGTGCTGAGGGTATCCATGGGACAGACGGACATGACATGTCTCAGGAAGGGCTGAGAAGGTATTAGCAGTGGGAGGCACGAACAAGAATTCAGTTTCCAAAGGCATCAAAGGGGGAAATATACATATATACGATAAGTGTAATCGTTGAAAGGAAGTTGACGTAAACACTAGGACTGAGCCGGCTGAAGAACAGCTGGTGGCCTGGGCGTTCCTGTGAAGGGATTCTCCTGAAGACAGCAGGAAAGGACTGAGAAGGAGAGAAGCCAGGAGAGATGGGAGCCTTGACACCCAAGCACCAGCATTCAGGTAAGGGATTGGGGAGAAAACATCTGAAGAAACTATGAAGATGAATTCTCCAGTTTGAAGAAAGCTGAGAAACCTCAGCCTGAAGGCACTGGGAGCCAAATGAGAAATAAGGAAAATCTCTGTTTATTGGCATCAAAGACAGAGAGGACGTTCTCAAAGCATCAGAGGGAAGGGACAGATCACCCAGGAAGAAGGAAAATAATCAGGTTTCTCAGCCACAAAAATGCATACAAATAGACAACAAAATAAGATAAAATATCTTTAAGCCTAAAAGACATCAGAATGATTGTCACACAAAGACCTACCCTGAAAACATGCTGGGAGAAAGTATGGAAAGAAATCTAGAAGCTAGGACGAGATATGGGAAGTGGCGTAATAAAATACTTTGGTGAAATGTATTGTGGTCTTTTAGTAAATGTTTAAAGTGAGGACTAAAATGTGGTGGGGGCAGGGGAGATGAACAGGGCAACTTCCTTGTTCAAGGGAAGACCCAGATACTGACAAGTTTAAGAAATCAGTAGGACTGCTTAATTTGAAAACCTGGATGAAATATATCCATTTCTAGAAAATTTTTAAATATCAACATTGACACAGGAAGCAATGGAGAATTTGAATTGACTAATAAATATGGAAGATGTTTGAAGGTTAGTCCAAGACCTCCAGTTACTCAAATCCCCAGTCCAAGTGTTTTTACAGGTGAGGTATATCAAATTCTCAAGGAAACACTAATTTCTTCTTATAGAAGTTGTTCTGGAAGACAAAAAAAGGGTGAACATTGCCAGTCCATTTTTTGAGACCCGTGTAAACTTGATTCCAAACCCAAATGAAGGCCAGCACAAAAGAAAAAAGATTCTAGACTCAATTAACTTATAAATGCAGAATCAAAAATCCTAGAAAAATATTAGCTGACTGAATTCAATGATGTATTTTAAAGATACATGGTGTTCATTGGGTTCATGTCTCAAGAATGCAGGAGATAAGGGATGAAGAATGCGTGCATCTAGGCTTCCTTGTAGCATACATGATGGTGTCCCAGCAGATGGCAGTGGAGAGAGTCTTGTATGACAGGGAAGTCAAGTGTCTTAAAGAAGTGGCACACTTTGACCTGTACCTGCAGGAAGGTGCCAGGAGGACATCAATCTTACAGGGACAGCTCAACCTAAAAAAACCTCATAAACAGGCTAAAGGAGGGAAAGGGAAATTATATCTCAATCGATGTAGGAAAAAACTGAAAGTTTCAACAGTCTATGATTTGTTTAAGCTGCTAGCAAACTAGCAATAGATTAGAATGTCCGCAATTAAATAAAATTTATGTACCAAAACACTACAGCAAACATTACACTCGATGGAGAAACTGATATGCCTTCTCTTTCATACTGGGAAAAACAAGGACACTTACTCTTGTCACTTTCATTTAACATAGGGGTAGAGGGCTTGGACAATGCTATAAAGAAAGAAAAAGAAATAGAAGGAGGACTGGAAGGGAAGAGAAACAACGGTCGTTATTTACAAAAATAACCAACTAGAGAATATAATTCTTAAAAATAGAGCACTATTCACAATAGAAACCAAGCTATGAAATATTTATACATTAACCTATACTACAGAAGACCTCAACATGGACTGTTTTAAAACTCTAGTATAAAGGGTTTTGTGATCAATGATCTGAAGTATTTGGAGAGAACATCCATGCTCTTGAATGGATGACTTGATTATACAAATCTGTCCAGGATTTTGGTGGTGGTGGTGGTGGTGTTGCCTGATAAACTTACTCTATAATTCTCTGCAACAATCAGATCCACAAAGAACTAGTCAACCTTGTAAGAGAAGAGTGAAGAGAGAGACTTACCCCCAGGAGATACTAAAACATCACACAGAGCCACAAAGTGAGAATGGTGTAGTGATGGCAGACCAGGCAAAAAGATCAAAAGAGCTGAAGGAGCGCTCAGAGAGCCCGCCTACACCCAGGGCAGCTGATGAACAGTGACCGCAGCGCCACAAAGCCAAGGGGCAGGGCTGGCGGTTTGCAGACGAACATTGGAAACTGGGCACGTTTCCCAAAAGTAAGCTGGTTCCCTAGCTAGTGCCCTACTCAGGCGTGTGCACCTGATGGCAAAACTGACTTAATAGACATAATGTATAGTTGATTATGGTTGTGACTAAGAAGCAGGGAAGAGATGCTTAAACAAAACACCAAAAACACAGCTCTAAGGCAACAGATTTTGCATTTGATAGATTAATAATAGGGATTTCTGTTCAGCAAAAGGCAATGCAGGCAAGTTCCACAGTGAGAAGACACTTCCAGTATCTCAACAATCATTGATAGGTAAAAAACAGGAGCTTCTCCCCAAACTAGCAAACTGGGCTAAGCGTGGAAATGGAAGGGGAGAGGGGATTCAGGAAGAGAAAAATCACAGGGAGAGAAGTTCCAAACCTGAGGAATGCAAAATGAAGCACTGATGTCGCTGTGCCTGTTACTAGGGCGACATCTCAGCAGCCGGACAAGGCCGAGCGCAGGGACCCGCGTGCAGCAGGGATGGGAGGGGCTTCAAGCAGCCCTGGGTCCATTCGGCCTCTGTCAGCCAGGACTGGGCCATCGCCCTCCTGTCCCTGGGCCCCTGGGCCTTTATCACCAGAGTCGTCTAGGGGCTGACCCCGCAGCGCCGAGGAGAGGATGGGGAGGTGAGGAGGGCGCCCGAGCGGGGTCGTGTGCAGGGGCACAGGTGGGCGGAGGCGCTGGGACAGCGAAGAGGGCTCTGGTCTGGGCGGCTCGGCATGGGAAGAAAGGGGCAGAAGGAGGGACCCGATGAATGTGTGAACACTTAATTGGTTAATGTCTCTTTAAAGCCCAAGCTCTTCCGAAGGAGATCATCAAAGTAACGAAGTCGGCCAGGAGGGACCCCAAGTCCCAGCACCCCACCCCTAACTGACTCCTCTGCCCGCGGGTCGCCCCCAGCTCCAGGCTCCCCCTCCCTGCTCGCTCCGGGTCTCGGCCTGGTTGCTATGGTTACCAGGGCTGTGGGGGCGGGGCCACGGGATCCAGCTGCTGCGCCCCCACTCCCGGGCTCTGCCTCCTCCTCCTCCTTGCTCCCCACTCAGCACCTTAGTCTTTGGGTTGAACAAATGTGAGAAACGCGTCCCGAGTTCGGATCTGTGGGGACTGGGGATACCTTGCCCCACGCCCCCTTCCCAGGAAGGGCAGCTCGCGCGGGTGAGGGCGGGGGTCGCCTGCGCGGAACAGCTCTGCCCTACGCCCCGCCAAGCTCCCTCCCGAAACTAATGCTACTTTCGAAAACCATCAATTCTGAGCCAAGAGTCAAGAAAAGGGCTTCAGGCCGACCCCAGCGGGACCCACCAGCCCCACTCCGACAGGGTCGCGGCCACAGCCCCGCCTCACCATGTCCGAGATGCTGTGACCTTCTCGCACCAGGACTGACACCATCTGCAGGAAGAAGCGGCATCAGCGGGTGGACCCCCATTGGGCTCCGACCCCCTCCCCGGACCACCCGAGCCCCAGTAGGGGGCGCCAGACACCTTGTCCGCGGGGAACTGGACGGCGGCGCCTGCGCACGGGGTTCGGTTCCGGCTCCAGTTGGCGGCGTCGTCGAAGTCAGTGTTGGGGACCCAGAGTTTGTAGGAGGCCCGTGTCAGCGCTGGGGAGGGGACGATTGCGTGCTCCCGGGCCTGGGGCATCCGCGATCTCACCCAGATGCCCCAGTGGCCCAGGGAGGACGACCTCCCCCAGATAGGCGCGGATGGGTTCCTCGCCGCCGCCTAGGCCCAGGCCCTCACCGCTTCCTACGTCGGACCAGAACCTGCGGGAGCTCGGCCCTGGCACTCTCTGAGGAACTCCTATTGGATCAGCAGAGCCCGCTCAAACGTGCCCTCTTCGCAGACGCCAGCCATGATCGCCTTCTCGCCCGCCCCCATTTTGCCCCGCGCTGGAGCAGAGGACTCGGCTAGGCAAGGACGATGACAACCGAGGGACGGAGGTGAATGGGCAGCGGAGGACTCGACCCAGTAGAAGGGGCTGGGGGACGGTGGAGCCCGGCCAGACGGGCCCTGAATGGGCGCTGTGTCCTGAGGGAGCCGCGTGGGGCTTAAGAGAGAGGAACAGGGACGGGGCTGCAGTTTCTAAAGCTCCCGAGCGAGCGTTGGGGGCGGGCCCTAGGACACGCACCGGCCCCGGGTGCGACCGGCAGGGTCAGCGACTCCCTCCTCGGCGGGGAAACTGAGGCAGGCGGCCGGGCCCGCAGCCTCCCGTGCTCAGTCGCTACTGCGGGCGCGACTGCAGACGGTGCCCATTTCGCAGACAAACCAAGCGCCCAAGGGCAGGAGCCCGGCCCAGCGATAGGTCTGGCCCAGGCTCCTCGCCTCTCGCACCGAGGGTGGGACCTGGCTGCGCGATCGGCCATTTGGGAGGCCAGGCCGGCTTTCGCACCCCCCCAAGCTCTCGCGGGGGGACCTTGGCCTCCTGGTGTGTCGGTCCCCAACAGTGCGCCCTGCCACTTACCGCAGAGCTGTAGCCACAGCAGGGGCAGGCCCAGCACACCCATCTCGCCTGGGGTTAGGCGTCTTGGACCAGGAGACTTTGCCCCGCGGGGCCCACGTGATCGGGTGGGGCGGGGGTGGGGTGGGGGCCACCAAGGATGGTTACACATTTACCTCCAGACTCGCCTGCAATGACTCTTCGGCCCCTCCAGACGCCTGCTGTGCCACCATCCCTCTCACACTCTCAGCCTTCCAGGGTGCTCAGACAAAGGGGCTTGTGGAGATGGAGCTGCCCAAAGAAACGGGGATGTTGGGGGCAGGCAGTAAACAACCTTTGGGCTCCTCCTGGCTTGGTCCCAGATGCGGCTGGGAATACACCCAGTGGGCCCACCTATTGGGGCTGGGAGTTCACTCTTCTAAGCAGGCCCTCCTGCCTCCTGGGCTGGAGGGTGTGGGTAGTAACTGCTGAGGGTGCCTGGTGTAGCGTGTATGGAGGAATGGTGAATGGTTGACAGTGGGTGCATGGTGAGTGGGGGAGTGTTTCTGTGCTGGTTAGTGGATGAATGAGGAATGGATGAATGGGAGATGGGAAGAGAATAAATGAATGGATGGGAATTAAGGGACAGTGGATGGAAAATGAGTGGTGGGTGATGGGATGACTGTTGGATGATGGATGGATGGATGTGTGGTGGCTGGATAGTGGATGCCAGATGGATTGAGGAGCGATGGTTGATGATGAGTAGACAGCTGATGGGTGACAGGTGAATGGAGATAGTTGTTAGTGGGTAGTGGATGGATAAATGGACGGGTGGTGGATCATGGATGGTGGATAGATGGATAAAGAAGGGTAGACTGGAAGGATGGTTGATGGATGGATGGATAAAGAAGGGTAGACTGGAAGGATGGTTGATGGATGGATGGATAAAGAAGGGTAGACTGGAGGGATGGTTGATGGATGGTAGATGGTAGCTGGATGAAGAAGAATGGTGGAAAGGGTAGTCAGTGGAATGGTGATTGCATAAATGGATGGATGGTGACTGAAAGATAAATTGTAGATGTTAAATGGATGTGTATGATGGATGACTTATTGAGATGGATGGTGGGTGAAAAAAGGTGGTGGATTTTGGATGGCAGATGGATGGAAATGGATGGGAAATGAGGATGAATGGTGGATGAATGGATTGATGAATAAATGAATGGCAAATGGGGTTTAGATGAACTGTGAATGGATGGTTGCTAAGGAGGTGGTGGATGGATGTTTGAGAGTAGACATGATGACTGGATATAAATGGATGGATGGATGGATGGACAGGTGGACAGACTGAGTACAGGATCGATGAATAGATGGAGAAATGGTGGAGGAATGTGTTTGGGGTGTTTAATCAGAGAGATGGACGCTTGGCTCTGCATGATGCACACAAGGATGGATGATGGTGAGTGAGTGGAGGATGGATTTGTTGGGGACAGAGTGGCAGAGGGTGAACGGGCAGGTAGATAGGTTGGGCATGGTAAACTGGATGATGGACAGTGGGCTTATGGGTGGTGGGGTGAATGGTGAGCTGATTATTAGGGGATGGTCTGGGAATCAATGGACACATGGATGGGGGAATCTGTGGGTGGTGGGAGACCAACAGATGGTGCATCATTGGTTATGGTTGGTGGCAGGGGAAGGCCACTGGGTTCAGGATGACCCGGTGGTTGATAAGTGAATATGGAAGGATGGATGGAAGGGTAGATGATGGAGGAGAATGTTTAGATGGAGGACTGTGGGGGAAGGGGAACTACTCAGCACCTTCCTCCCTCCAGTTCTCCCTGTCCTCTCCTGCATCCGCGCCCATCCCTCACCTGCAGACCTCCCGTCATTAGCACGCCTCAGTCTGACTGGTCTCTGCTTCTCCCAGATACCAGATATTTCATCCAAGGAGGATGGGGCCCATCATTGGGGGCACTCTCACTGCCTTACACCCTGGGTGGGAACAGCGACTTCCCTGACTGGGAAAAAGGGAGTGAGCACACCAGCTGGTTCCGCCCTTTAACCTGGGTGGGATCGGGGTACCTGTTCTCAGTGGCTCAGCGGTGCCAGAGCTGCCTGGGATGGGGAAGGTGGGTCTGCCTTGTCCTGAGCTTGGCTGTGGCCACATGTAGGGCTGACAGGAAGCGCCATACTCCATAGCAGTCAAGGAAGGCTTCCTAGAAGAGGTGGCATTAAAGCAGAGACGGGAAGGATGAGGTCCCAGCTGCAGCCACAGGCTGGGTTGACTGTGGCAGAACAGGAGGAGTAGTGGCTGGTCTGCTGTGGGGTATGGGAGTACCCATATCTCTGAAAGGGGAATCCTTGAACAGGGGAGAGTCCAGCGATCAGAGGGTGGCCCAGAGAGGAGCTCCCCCACCCCTCCTTCCCCACAACTCTCTGGAGACAGAGCCACCCCCCAGGTTAGTCCTCCAGCTCCTTCTCCTGCACTTTTGTCCCTGACTTGGGCAGGTCCCTGCACCTCTCTGGGCCTTAATGTCCCTCTGGAGGGACTGAGGCTCCAACATGCATGGCTCTATTCCTGGACAACATGGGGTGGGGGCAGTGGGAGCATGGAGGGCAGCCCCCCTCAGAACGGCTTCCCTTTACTCAGGTGTCTGCACAGTCACCTCCCCAGAGAAGGCACCTTGGCCACACACAACCTCACCATCAAATCTGACACCACATGCCCTGTGGGGCCCATGGGACTTTGTTCACACTCCATGGACCACCTGGAACATAGAAGATGCTCAAAAAATATCCATGAGAGGAAGAGGTGACTGACACTCCCCCCAGGCAGGCAGGTCACCTCCCAGGCCCTGCAGCTCACACAGCCTCTGCCAGCCAGGGCTCAGGGACTTGGACCTGGGCCCCACCTTTTGACCTGTGGCTTCCCTACCAACCTCCGGATTTCTCTTTGGGCCTTTCATTCATCCACACACTTGGTGCCAGGCCTGCAGCAGGGCTGGGAGTACAGCCTTCTGGGTTTGAGGTTGGATGGGGAGACGGATGCTGGACACACGATGCTCCCTGGTTCTGGCAGGGCTCTGTAGAAGCATGAAGCATTCGGGGAAGGCTGGAGTGTGCTGGGAGGGTGTGCAGGAGCCCTTAAGGCAAGATGGCCAGGGCAGGCCTCTGGGAGGAAGTGACACTCCACTGAGACCTGGGAAATCTACAGTAAGAGGAAATAGCAGGTGCAAAGGCCCTGAAGCAGGAGCATGAGCAAGGCTTCAAGGAGGGTGAGAAGACCACATGCGTAAGGTGAGGCCGGGGCAGTGCTAAGGCCATGCTGGTGCTGGAGGCTGGGTTTCACGTGTGTGAGAGGGAGCCCAGGAAGGTGTGGGCTGGGGGGCTCGTCACCTGGCTTGGCCAGGGCTGAGCGGGCCACCCATCGGCAAGGGGGGTCAGGTGGGCACCTCTGGTTGTCCAGCACGGGTGTGGACAGGCTACGGTGCAGGTTTGAATGCTGTAAGGCTCCACAATTCTCTCAGCCTGTTTCATCCTTCACCTGCAAAGCCAGGTGGCGGTGGCCCTCCCAGGGCAGCAGGACGAGGAAGATGCTCTGCCCCAGGACACTCCACCCCTTTTCTGTCTGCAGACGATGGGACAGGAGGACAGCAGTGGGGTGCTGACCTGGGAGCTGCCCCGAGCAGGTCGCTAAACCCCCCACCTTGGGGAGGCTTCTCGCGAGGGTCTACTCGGGCCTGCACTGTCCCACCTGCCCTCTCCTGCCCTCCCTGGTGGGAGGTTTAATTTGTCGCCTGCCCCTTTGTACCAAGAAGAACTTTGTTGGGGGAACTTCACAGGCCTCTGGGTTTAGAAGAGCCACAGTGGAGTCACGGATGCTATCTGGTGCTCCAAACCCTTGCTGTCACCCTCGGGACTGGCTGGGCCAGGACCAGCGAGTGGACGAGGCTCAGGCCACATGAGGGCCAAGTTTGAGGGCTGCCCACAGTGGGGCTGGGCCATATGTATCAACAAGGTGCCCAAGCCCCAAACTCCACGGGGGGTGGGAGCCTTCTGGAGCCCAGGGCCTTGGCCACCATGTGGTCCCTCATTCCCAGGGCACCTGTCCCTGGTTGGAGGACTCTCAGCTGAATGACCTGAAGCCAGGTCCGGGACCTGGCCATCCTGCTAGCTGGCCGAGGTCCCCACAAGGTGTTTACCTCTAGGTGTGTGGCCACCACTGGCTGAGCACATGCCCCCGCCATCCACAGAGCACTTTTCCCCTGGCATCATGCCACCCCAAGACTGCCTGGGCGCGCAGGCTGATGTCAAACCCAGGGACCTGGCCGGGGGCTCTGCCTGCGGCTTCTTACACCCAACGTGGGGCCAGCCTTCTCCTGGCCCTCAGCTCCAAGCCGTGTCCCCTGGGCCTGGCGGGGACAAGTGGCTCATGGGTTTCCGAGCTCTGCCTTGTCAAGGCCTCACCTAGAGTCCAGGGTCACCTGGGAGCAAGGATAGAGCCTGCGGGCTCGAGGTCACTCAGAGCTTCCACAACCTCTAACTTCTGCCCTAGTGGCCCAGGCCCAGGACGAGGCCTCGGGGGCTGAAGCGCTCCAGGGACGCAGGCCCGCCGCTCCTCTGAGGGGTCGAGGCGCTTCTCCTGTCCAGCCCGGGTTGTCCTGGTGGTGGTGGTGGTGATGGAGGCCGCTGGTGTGGGATTTAGGTCCAATGGCTGTCTATCTTCAGGAAGCTGGAAACATGGCCCATGTGGTCCCAGCACCGCCACATGCGCAGATCCGAGCGCCACCGCAAACGGGCCACGCAGGAGAAAGTAGAGCGCAGGGCGGCTTCCGGGCCGCGCCCCCTCCTCTCCAGGCCGAGCTTTTCCCACTGAGATCGGCCCCGCAGGGGACGGGTGTCCCTGGCAAGAGCAGGTGGACTGGGATTCCAGGCACACGTCCCGGCTCGGTCCTGGGTGCCTGGGGCGGGGGCGGTTCTGCTTCGGATGCAGCGGGGACACGGCAGTGGCCCTTGTGTGGCCTAGTGGTGGCTCCTGTGGCCTGGCTCGGTCAAGTCCCCAGCTCACCCAGGGGTCTGCTTCACTGCAGGGCTCAGCCCCTGTGCCGAGCGGAGGGAGGCGAGAGGGTCACAGCGGGCGGCCTGACCCTCCCAGGCCAGGGTCACGGCCACCCCGGGCCTCAGTGGCTGGGACAGCGGTGGCCCCGGTGTGGACTCCAGGGACAGAGGCCAAGTCTCCATCCGTCAGAGGTCCAGCTCGGAGCACCCCCCTCCTCACCATGCCCGCTCCTGCCGCTGCCCAGAGCCCCGTGTCTCCCTCGGAGTTGGGGGGTGTGCCCTTCTTCCTGGGGGTCATTGACGATCTCCCGTCCTCTTGGCCTCAGTGACATAAACTCCCGAAGTGTGAAAGCAGAGGACCTGGTTTCTGAAATCCGCTGAGCGGCCCCTCTAGGGGAGCTGGAGACCCCGGCACACAGGGCTCTGAGCGCGGCTGGCTCCAGCCCGGGCCGCCCTCCCGTCAGAGGCGCTGTCCACACTGGGCCGCCAGAGGTCTCGCTCAGCGCCGGGGAGATGGGCGGAGTGCAAGGGGCATGTGCCCTTGGGACACCCAGACACATGGACTGACCCCGCATTAGAAAGCCCTGGAGGCCACAGACCCCTGGTGTGCTCCCCGGCCTAGGGGGGTGGCAGAAACAATGATGACAGTGAGGAGCCAGGCCCTGGGGCCCTGGCGGGGAGCGGCTCTTGGGGGCTTGTTCCTGGGCTGCCCCTTCCTGCTGCCCAGTGGGCCGAACATGGAGGCCCGGGCCTCTCCCCTGGGTTCTGGCCCCAGGCGGTGACTTGGAGAACGGGTGAGGCTGAGCGGGGCTGCGGTGCTGGCACCTGAAGGAGCAGGGACAGTGGGGGCAGGGCTGAGAGGTTTCCAGGGTCTTTCCCCTGCTTTGCAGTGTGGAAAGCAGCCCCCACGCCTGGTAATTTGGGGGAAACTTGCAGGAGACGCAGGGCTTCCTGCTGCTGGGCCTGACCCACACGACCACCTGGGGAAATACAAGACCCGCCCTGCTGGTTCTGCGTCGGGCAGGAGCCGTGCTGGCTCCGTGTCCCGCCGTCGCCCCACTGGGAGCTGCTGCCGGAGCCCCCACAACCACCCGCAGTGTCAGCGCTGGTGTGGCTTTTTAAGAGCCCCCTAGTTTCAGAAAGGAGGTAGATACAATCCTTCCCTCTGACAGACAGGAACCCCAAAGTCCTACAGCCAAGAAAGTGGTGGAACTGGGAGGGGACCCCAGCTCTGCGGGCCCCACCAGGCATGGCAGGGGCCCTGGCAGGAGAGAGGGCCCGGAGCCCGGAGCCCAGGGCCACGGCCATGTGGCCGCACAGGTGAGTCAGTGTGATAAAGACACCCAGACTCCTTAGTCAGATTTATTTTCTCTAATAAGACCGTTCAGCATTTCAGAGTTCTGCATTCTACACTCTTACAAACGTCAGTTATTAGCATCAGAAACACAAAAACATTGCAAGACCTCAAAACACAAATAAATACCAAATAAAACATACACAATAAACAGTAAACAAAAATAGAAAACATAATAATGCTGTCGGGAAATCAGACATGTTGTTAGCCCGCAGGAACAACATGATTATTGCTGAGCAATAACTTACACTGTCTTTTTGTGGGTTTTTTTTTTCTTAGAAGAGCAGAAAAACACGGGACGTGAATCACTGGTCACAATCACTTGGACGTCAAGATGGGTCCTCACAGCGAGTGGTTACTACAGATGGCAATTTTTAAAACAGGCAGGTTAAAAATACAGAGTCAACTGAGAGATTGGCCTTCTTTGGTCTTTGTTTTGGGTAACAGAACTGAACGAAGAGGTGTGTCGTCAGAGAAAGAATCAATGCTGAAAACACCACACGATCGTCTACGTGGATTCACACACTCCCTTTCCCACAGAGGTTACTCTCCAGACAATTCTCACAGAGATCCTTGGAAAGAACGCCAGCTTCTGTGTTTACCAACTGAGTCATTGAGTTTGCTGTTGAAGGTTATCCCACGTGTCGGGGCACTGAGTTATGAACCAACCGGCACTGCCTGCGGGCGCGGTGCAGCCCCCCGGACCCCACCCACCGCGCGGGCCCGCAGGGCGGACTGAGATGCAGCGGCAGCGGCGGAAATGAAACGCAAGCGCAGCTCGTCCCACTCGGGTCTCTGCAGATGGGCCCAACCACCTGCGGACCCAGGTCGCCCCAGGCCGCCCGGCTCCCCGGTGACAACTGGCACCGCCCGGCGGACAGGAGTGATGGCCGGGTCACCTGCCGACGCGGGAGCCTCACCCTGACCTCGTCTGATGCAGACCCTAGTGGACATGTTCTACTTTGGAGAAAACAGAACCATTGAGATTTGCAAACAGAGGACAGGGCCACGGTCTCGGGCTGAGAAGTAGGTTGGGTGACAAATCCCTCATCTCACAGACGCACACAAAGGCAAAGGGGCTCCCGGAACTCCCCCAGGGCTGCTCTGCGGTCTGGTCAGTAAAGATCGGGACCACAGCCCTTTCACAGCTCTGCCCGCGCCCTTCTCAGCACTGGCAGCTACCGCAAGCAGAGGGAGGCGATCGGAGGGCCGCGGTGTGGGCAGAGGCCCCGCGAGGAGTCTGATCTCCTGACAAGGCCTGTGAAGACCGGCAGAGATGCTGTGGCCGGAAGGTTTTCGCCGGACACACAATCACGGTCACTCCTTTGGGAGGAGGAGGGGGCCTTGGCTGTTTGAGGTGGTGAGCCCCTCTGGGTGCACTTGGGGTCCTGCTCTCTCCCCGCTGCCATGGGCTGAGAGGAGATGACCCACCTCGGGACCCTGCTGTATGTAAGGGTCTGTCCGGCCACCCTCTCCTCACCCCGCTGCTGCCCACTGGCTGCAGGATGCCAGGCCTGCCACCGGCGACCATCCCCACGACACTGAGAGTGCAGGGCGTTGACTGGGACGCGTGGCCCCGGGTGGCCGAGGACCCGGGAGGAGACCAGCTATCTAGGAAGGGGCTGCCCTGACCTGGCCACAGTGGCCACAGGGCAGGCGGATGCGCCCTAGAGCTGGCCGGCACCTGGAGGACCTGGTGAAGGTGGCCACCAGGGAGCGCTAGGCTCCCGCAGCCAACAGCCCCCAGGGACCCCGGGCAGGGGTGGCTACAGGAGGGAGGGAGGGAAGGAGCTGCCTGGCCAAGAGCCTCCCGCTCGCACGGTGGCTGGCATCTGGGGCCAGGCTGGGAACCGGAGGAAGGCGGCCCTGCTCGCCCTCCTGTATGGCGAATGCCCACCTGACTCGCTCTCTGGGACTGGCACCCCATCTCGTGCAACAGGTCATCAGATGCTGGACAGGAATCCCTGCTTGTGTCCAGTGTCACCTACAGACCCTGGAACCGATCCCAACTGCAAAAAAGGCCCAGGTGAGCTGCACCAGCCACCCTCCTCCGCCCCCCGCCCCCACCCCCAGTGCAAGCTGCCCAGCCCGGCCCGGCAGGCTGGCCTGGACTCCGCAGACACGGGCTGACTGGGGCACAGGATGCTGCACGAGCCCCTGGAAGGTACTAGATCGGTTTTGGTCCACGGGGAACTTTGCCACTTTTGTAAACAAAAAAGTGCGCCCCCACGCACCACGGCTCAACCCTTTGCTTGTCCCCGGGGCCCCGGCATGGGGAGCACCAAACAGCAGATGGGGAGACGCGGGACCACGTCCTGCAGGAGCTGCCCCCTCGTGTGCATGGAACAGTGGCCATGAGGCCATCGACCGCTGTGTCCACCAACTGTCACCAAGCCACAGCATGAAGCTCCCACCATGTCACAGCCTCATGGAGGGGTGGTAGTGGCACCAGCTCCTGAAGCCAGGTCCCAGCGGCTTCTGCAGGGGGGGGCGTGTGGCCAGGGTGGCCCAGTCACTCCCACCAGAAGGGGTACTGGAAAAGTACCCCCTCCAAGGGACAGATGCTTCCAGAGTGGGTTTCAGCCCAGGGGAAAGAGGTGTTTTGTTTTTCACCAGATTAATGTGTTGCTTCTCCTAGATGTGTTAACACTGTCCATACTTTTAGTGAAGGGGGAGGAAGTTGCAGGGAGGTCCCTGTTGGTAACCCCTGGCCTCAAGAAAGCCCTCTGAGGCCAGGGGGGACTGCCGGGCGTACCCCCTCCTCCGGGTCCCCAGGGCAGAACCCAGGGCAAGGCTCGGAGGAGGTCGGAACACCTTCGAGGGAGCAGCGGTCTGCAGCACCTGCAGGAAGTCTTCCTCTCTGAGTGGGGACACCCGACTCCTCACAGGGCAGAACTGATGACACTGAGTGGCCCTCAAAGCAAGTCCCGGGGCGGGGGGGTGAAGACAGCGGAGCGTCTGAACTGCCGGAGGGTGCGGCAGGTGCTTGAAACCCATGAGGTCACTTATGGAAGCTCGGGGACAGCGTTGGAGAGGAGGGCGCTTCCAGCAGGCACTGGGGCGAAGGCACACCCAGGGCAGATGGCAGCACCAGAGACACGGTGGGCCAGCGGGCACCCACCCGGCCGTCCCCGCACGGCCATGGGGGAGCCCGAAGGCAGGCAGTCTGTGGCGCGCGGCCCAGCCAGCCAGTCGTGGGCGCGCCTTGCGGATGAGTGGCACAGATGCGGCGGTCCACACACACTGGCTTTGCCTAAGAAGCACCCGTCAGTGTAGCACCCGTCAGTGTGAGAGCACCCGTGGGGCGTGGTGCGCAGCAGGGCACAGGAGCAGGGCCCCGTCCTGTCACAGTGGGACCATCGGGAGAAGGTACACGGGGCGAGGAGTGCCGTCTGGGCAGGGCACAGGCTGGGACGGCAGGGCCCAGGGCCACCCTTCCCGAGAGAGGGTGGCCCCAGACGCCTGTCGCCCAGCCTGGGCGGCCCCAGAGCGTGGTGTCTGGAATGCTCAGGGGCTCCGCTCGGGGCCGGGGCGCCCACCGCCCGTGGCCGCACTTCTCCCCGACTCCTGCCTGCACTGGGACCAGGGCCGAGAGACTGGGAATCCATGACAATTAAGCAGTGGGGGCTCCAGGAGCTGACAAGGGGCCCGGCTTCCTGAGCAGGTGCAGGGCTGAGGGCCCTCAAGTGGTCAGGAGAAAAGTCTGGTTAAACCATCACCTTCCGGAGTCACCGTGAACACAAAGCTGGGGTCGAGAAGCAGCATGTCACATCTAAGGCACATGAACAGCACGCCACCACCTCTACACAAGCTGTCAGCACGTGCGGGACGCGACAGAACGGAGACGCGTCTGCTGTGGCCCCTTCAGCACGAGTCACCTGCCCACCCCCGGACACTGGACACTGAAGGTCGGTGTTGTCAGCAATAGAGAGCTTGTCTGAACAAATGGGGCAGAATTTTAAAAACCTACAGGATTTTGTTTAGAACTCCAAAGTTCAACTAATGCCCTATTTTAGGGTGAAAACAATTATAAATCTGAAAATGATGCACAGCATCCATGAGCGATTCTCCTTTCATAGTAATTTTGAAGTAGTGTCAGTAACTACGACAGAGATTGAAGGTTTACACATTTCTAACGAGAAATAACAGCAGATTGAATGTCCTCCTTCCTATCACAAGTGATAACCAGTGTTTGATATTTTACATTTTCTTCCAAGAAATATCAGTCTATCAACGTTTTGAAATAAAATGTTTGCAGTTACAATTATCTTAGAACTTTAAATTAAAAAATGATTCTGAATTTAGAGACTTCCAAAAAAGACCTAGGTGTATACTTCAGGGTCTTCTGACAAACAAATTATTAAAACAGAGACCAGATGAGGCCTTAAAAATAGACAATATACTATATTTGAAACAAGATTGCACTCTTGAATTTTAGAATGAATATATCAGAATTGCATTATTATTTCATAAATTCTTCTTTTACTTAACATGCTGACATGTCCAGCTATCCCCAGGTGTGTGTGTGTGTGTGTGTGTGTCTGTGTGTCTGTGTGTGTTGTGTGTTGCGTATTCTTTTTTTGGTGTTCAAGTTTAAGGAAGAAAAATGATGGTTCTTTTCTTTAGCATATATGTTTTCGATTAGATCTTTTAAAATGAAAATGAAAACCTTCTCTGACAGCAGTATTTATCTCGTAGAAGGATAAATAATCCCGCCGGCCCGAGGCCGCCTTCTGCCGCTTCCTCCGCTCCACAAGGTCCTTTTCTGAGCACGAGGACCTCAGTGGAGACAGCAGAGCCCCCAGAGGAGTTGCCTTCTGCTCGATCCACCTTCCCAGTGACTCGTCAGGGGTCAGGCAGATCCGAAGTATCCACTATGACCTTAATAAAAATGGTATCATCTTTAATATATGTCCCGTTTTCCAGCACAGTTTGGGCCACAAAGACTGGGCAGCCAGAGGCAATATTCATCTCCCCGGTGGGCTTCTTGAAGCTGCTGCTGTTGGGGTCCGGCTTGAACGCGTCTCCCAAGTGGCGCCGGGAGGACCCCTGATCCATCAGCATGAGTGTCACTTTCTGCTTGAATGGCCAGGGGAGCAGAGCGTCGTATTCTCCGCGCATGATGACGAAAAACAGCGACAGGTGCGTCCCCTTGCCCATCCCGTCCCCGTTCAGGTAGACCCTGGCGCACATCTTGTAGCCGAAGTAGCCGGTGTAGAAAGGCTGGCTGTAGAGAGACAGGGTCTTGCCCATGACGGCCTCCTGCTTCCGCCGCTTGTAATCCCGGATCTTCCAGATAAGCACGCCGTTGTAGCTGGCGGTCTCCAGGACCTGGAAGCGCAGGTCCATGTCGGCCAGGCGGATGTCGTGGACGCTCAGCATCTGGTCGTGCCGGCTCAGCTGGGACTCCAGCAGGCCTGCGGCAGGCGAGGAGAGACGGGGTGCAGGAGACATGTAACTATCCCAGAGGCTGGGGAAGCTGGTCCCCACCAGCGTCTGGACTGAACGACCTGAACTCACTGCGGCTGCTGGGCGGAGAGGGACGCGTGACACGCTGATGCCCTGAAACACAGGCCTCGGATCCCCCAACACCCACGGCCATGCCTGCTGAGAGGCGACGCCCTGGGGGGCCCATCGCCCGCGGCCCCCTTGGAGCCCCGCCAGGGGCACGGCTGGCTGCCTTCTTGCTCACACCTCCCCCACCTCCAGCCTCCACACTGGGAGTCACCCACGCCCCGTCCGAGTCTCAGTTGCTCCTCCCTCCACTCCGTGTCCTTGGCCAGTTTTTAATCCAGCCCCACATGCATCATGATAATATCTGTTCTTTTTCCCTTTAATCCTTCTCATGCAAATATTCAGAATATTCACTCAGCGCCTGAGGTGGCTGGCCCTAGTACGCGTCTAATATCAGAAACATGCCGTCATCCTCTGTCCCCTGGGCCTCTGTGAGCATGGCCGGGAGCACCCCAGCCAGCAGCCCCTGCTCTCAGCCTGGCGTCCACCCCATGCTGCCTTTGCCACGCTGGCCTTGCCTGCATGGAGAGGACAAGTCTAAGTGGGAAGCGTTTCTGTCTCTACCAGAGGCATCTCAGCAGGAAAACGCTCACCCCTGCAGGCGTCTGCCCGTGACTGCAAAGCTCCATTCTGGCCGCACGGGCCGCACGCCCACTTCCCTCACCAAGTCGAGCCCTGGCACTGAGCTGGCCTGGGAGCAGCCAGGCCCAGGGCCCCTGTCCCAGGTCCTCCTGGCCCGCACTGCTGCGGCCTGCCTGCCCTCACCTGTGTTGCGGGCAGCCTGCCCTGCGCTCTTGTCCACGCTCTCCAGCTCGGTCACTCGGTTCTGCAGGGACTCCACGCTGCTCTTCATGCTGTCTGCCTCCTCCCAGCTCTGCCGGAAGGGACGAATCTCCTTGTCCAGCTCTTTCAGCTTCTCCGCTTGGCTGTCTATGACTCGCTTCCAAACCAAAGGCGTCAAAAGGTAAAACATGGTTAGAACCTTCTGGGAAAGGGACGCCACTATCTGAAAATACCCGCTGCTCAGGGACAGAGCCGTCGGGATGGGCCCCGCCCAGGAGCCCTGTGCCAGTTCACACAGGCATCTCATCCGACGCCCACAGGACTCCCGGGGGACACAGGTGCCGAGGTCCCTAGTTCCCAGGAGGAGACTGAGACACAGAGAGGCCTCACCTACCAACTGCAGAGCCACAGTGCTGTCTGAGAGTCTCAGTCCAGGATCCTGGAGTTGCACCCAGCAGTCCTGTCTGAAGGCCTCTGTCCCCTACAGGACTGAGGCCACCAGCAGGGGCCAAACTATGTGGACCCCCCCAGCTGGCTGCCTGGCCCAGGGCCCGAGTGGCCATGCTGTCTCTGAGGCTGCACAGAGCATCCCAGGACCCTGCCTGAGTCCCAGGAGAGAGAGCTGCCACCAACCTGCCCTCTCTGGCGCCGGTCTTCAGGCCTGGGTGCCACCCAGGGGCAGAGCCTGTGGGAGTGGGGCTCTGCTTCCTCCCTGCCCTCCGGGTTCATGCCCGTGCCCACGGAGGCAGAGAAACCCCGCTGATGAGCCAGGCTTGATTTTAGGAGTCTTAATTTGAATAATTCAGAAACCCCCTTTTCCAGAAGCACATGACCACCACATGTGGACCAGGAACAGGAGGGAAGGGCCTGGTGCTCCAGCTGTGGTGGCCCCGTTTGTCTAAAGGACGGTTTGCCCTCTTGTTAGATGAAGCCAAGGACCAATGGAGTTTTCACTTCTAGGAAGAATCTGCATTTTTGAAATAAAGCTCCTGGAGTCTGGGTAGGTTAGCCCCTGAAGGTGAGAACTGACTGCAGGCCACGCAGGGGAGAGCCCCGGGGGCCGGCGGACCTCACTTCTCCTTTTCAAGCCTATGTTTAAACACTTAGGTTTCAGCACCTAATAACCGTGAAGGAACAAACATGGCAGCCTTGGGTTCGTTTTTTGGTGTGAAAGTACAGTGTTAATCTTCCTCTTCTTTCCAAGAAACCCTGACATTAGCTAATATTTAAAAGGTATAAAGATTTCTTTAGAGAACACTCCTTTCTACACTGGCATCACTTTATTTTTAAATACACACGGCTAGAGACATAGGGCATTGGTTCACAAAGTCTGTTTTCTGGAGCAGCACTATTGACGCTGACAAATACCCAAACCCGTAACGTTCTCCCCACGGCGTCTGTCCTCGTCCTCCACCTGCTCACACGACACGACAGACTGAGCCCACGTGGGTCCCAGTGAGTCCAAAAGGGCAGTTAATGAGAACTGAAACAATCACGGGCAGTTCTGAGAGTGGGCACTGTGAGCTGGGGCCGCGGTGCAGGGTGGCCCAGGACAAGCTGCTCATCACTCCCGAGCCACCCCTAGCCTGCGGCTGGTGACGCGCACGGGGACGGGGGCACGAAGGCACAGGCCATCCCGAGAGCAGGACCGCGAAGTCTGAATGCCAGCAAGGCCGGACGACGGCCCAGGCACCGGAGTGGGCAAGTGGGTGCGGGGGCAGGAGGGGCCCGCGTGCGTGCGCGCGCACACAGACACACAGACACACAGACACACACACACACACACAGATGAGGGTCAACCAGTTACTTCACAGTCGCTTCTCACACAGCAAGGGAAGACGTGTTGTTTTCACCAGACCTCTCATTTGTATGAATGGGACGGTGTCAAAGCAGAATGCTGATCGCAATCACGCTTCTGCTTAAGAAGCAGCAAATGTGATTTCATTCTCGAAGAGAGGTCTACACTCAGCCAGTGCAGTGTTTCTATGAAAATACATCTTAGACGCAGGTGAGGATTTCATTTGAGAAAAGAATTCAAGAGCTGAGATAAAAGGCACAGACTGCACACTACAGACCTAAGTCCTCTGCAGATTTGCTCATAGACGTGTCACTGATGGGTCTCATGCACACGCACGTTAGGGCTTAAACCATCATCTCTCTGTCACTTTGCATCCCTGGGGTCACCGAGACAATGCAGGTGGGGCTCCTGGGCCCACCACGGGGCCGGCGGACAGAGCGCTGCTCACTCCAGTCCTGTAGACTCTCTGCCTGTGGGACGACCAGCTCACACAGTCCCTACTGACTACAGGCACATGGGAGCTAAGCTAACATCTAGACTATCTTTTTAGAAAAACACGTTCTTTAAAAAGTAAAATATTAAGAAACTACCCTTCCTTGGCCAGCAACTGCAAACATGCTGTTTTTTTTTTTTAAGTTGTAGTTGGTTTACAATGTTGTGTCCATGTCTGGTGCACAGCATCATGTTTCAGTCATACATATACATACATATATTTATTTTCATATTCTTTTTCACCACAGGCTACTGCAAGATATTGAATATAGTTCCCTGTGCTCTACAGAAAAAACTTATTGTTTATCTATTTTATATATAGAATTAGTTTCTGCAAATCTCAAACTCCCAATTTATCCCTTCCCACTCCCTTACCCTTTGGTAACCATAAGGTTGGTTT